AAAAAAAAAAAAAAAAAAAAAAAAAAAAAAAATTATATATTAGTGCTGTGTCTGGCAGCGTATGCCTGTAATCAAAGCAGAAGGATTGCCTCAAGTTCAAGGCCAGCCTGGGCTACACAGTTAGTTCAGAGCGAGCCTGAACTACAAAAAAGCAAGAACTTGTCTCAAAAAACAAAAACCAAAAAAACAAAACAACAACAAAAAACAAAACCCAAATAAACAGACAACCCCCCCAAACCAGAAAAGTATATATTGGAAAAGGAAGATTCTATTTTTCCCTTAAAGAGATAAAACGTTTTATTTTTGGTACCAGGGATCGAACTCAGGACCTTGCGCTTGGAAGGCAGGCTCACTGAGCTAAATCCCCAGCCCAAAATCTTTTGATTTTTTAATTATTGTCATAATTCTTTTTTCTCTTTTTGGTACCAGGGATTGAACTCAGGACACCTTGAGCTTGTCAGGCAGGTGCAGTGCCACTAAACTAAATCCCCAGCCCAATAACTCTTAAAAATTAATTTTATAACAAAGAAAAAGGAGAGTAAAATGGAAAACTAACTTCCATTATGCACAGAAAAAGACTATTATAAAAATTTCATTCTGTATAGCCAGGTGTGGTGGCACAGGCCTGTAATCCCAGCACTCTGGGAGTCAGAGGCAGAAGGACCTCAAGTTTGAGCCTTATCTGAACAACTTAAGCAAGATCTTATCTCAAAAAAAAGCCTGAGTTCAAAGCCTAGTAGTGCAGAAAAAGAAGCAAACAAATCACTCCATCACTATCCATTTCTAACAACCTGTCTCAGCATGCGGTTATATTAGTTTGTAACATTCTTTTCACTTATGAGTATACAGGGTCAGATGTACCTCAGCGGTCTAGCATGTGCTTTAGCACATTTGAAGCCTTAGGCCCCCATCTCCCGCACCACACAAGAAGGTACAGTTTCATAACTTTGCTAACTCAATCATGAGCACAAAATAATGCTCCCAAAGGGTCTAGATTTTACCCTCAGACTGACATGAAAACAGCTATAGAAGCCTTGAATAAATTAACGTACTTAAGTCTCAATTTCTTCCTTTCTTTTTGGTACCCAGGATCGAATTTGGGTCCTTGCGCTTGTGAGACAAGCAGCAGCATCACTGAGCTAAATCCCGAGTCCGTAAGTCTCAATTTCATCAAAGGAAAAATGAAAGTAATTAACACTCTTCCCTGTCACTGTGAGGATAAAACAGAACAAATCTTAAAGTGCAAGATGTTATATACTTTTAAAGGTGTTTTGCAAGACTATACCTTAACCTATAGCTAGAATGATTAATCAGTAAGGAGCTGAAATACTATGTGGGAAGAGTACAATGGAGGGACCCTGGAAATACAAGCCTTAGGCAGAGCAGATTAGGAATCTTCAAGGGTCTTTTCCTTTATGAACTGAAGCCTTGATTCTACATAAAATAACTTTTAAGGAAACTATACAATCTACGTAATAGGCTTATGCCAAATGTGTTACAAAAGACTACTTACAAGAACTTCATAGTCAGGGATGGTATGAGTCCCAAGCCCTGTCCTATCAAAAGTCACTCTGTAAGTAGCATTAAGAGTATCCACGGCATCTATTTGTCCTGTGAACAGACCATCATGAACACCACGCAGACGTGCTAAGGAAAGAAACACAGGCATTATTGTTTGGGAGATACAAAGAATTGCCAAATATTAAAAAGCTGTGGGGGGACATCTACACATAAGCAATAACACTACCTATCTACCCACAGATAGAATTTATACTGATTGCTTGGAAGGTAGTTCAATGGCACAATATCTGTCTGGCAAGTGCTAGTCCCTGAGTTCAATTCCTGGTGCCCCCCCACCAAAAGAATTTATACTGATTCTGTATCTTGGCTATTCTGAATGCTGCAATAAACACAGATGTGCAGATGTTTCTTTGACATATAGAATTCACTGCCTTAGGATATGTACCCAGCAGTGGTATCAGTGTATTACACGGTAACTGAATTAATAATTTTTGGAGGAATCTCCATATTGCTTTCCATAATGACTACTTTACTCTTCCAACAACTTTGTGTAAGGGTTCATTTTTCTTTACATTCTTGCCAACACTCGTTAGCTTGTCTTTGATAACAGCCCTTCTAACAGATAGGAAACAATACCTCATTGTGGTCTCCCCCTCCAATACTGGGGATTGAACTCAGGACCTTGTACTTACTAGACAGGCACAATGCCACTGAGCTAAATCCCTGGCCTTTACCTCATTGTGCTTTTAACTGACGTTTCCCTGATGATTAGTGATGCTAAACACTTTTTCCTATACCTGTTGGCCGTCTGTATATATTTTGTTTTGGAGAAATATCTATTTAGATCTTTTGCCCATTTTTTTCAGGCTGTTTTCTTGCTGTGAGTTATTTTAGATATTAACTATCAGACTTGCAACTACTTCCTCCCAGTGGTAGACTGTTCCTTCACTTTTTGACTGATCCTTTGCTACGCAGAAGCTTTTTAGTTTGATATAATCCCCCATTCCTACTTCTGCTTTTGGGGGCAACTCTGTATTCTCATCTATTAAAGACAGACCATTAGAAATTACCCAATCCAAGCCAGGTGTGGTGGTGCACGCCTATAATCCCAGCACTGGGGAGTCTGAGGCAGGAGGATCACTGTGAGTTCAAGGCCTGCCCGTGCTACATAGTGAGTTCCGGGTCAATCTCAACTACAGAGTGAGACCCTGGGGATTTACCTCAGTGGTTCCACTGCCTGCCTTGCAAGCGCAAGGTCCTGAGTTCGATCCCCAGTGCAAAAAAAAAAAAAAAAAAAAAAAAAAAAAAAAAAAAAAAAAAAAAACCCACACAAAAAAAAAAAAAAAAAAAAAAAAAAAAGAAACAAACAAACAAACAAAATACCCAATCCGAAGAACAGAGAGAAAAGATTCAAGAAAAATGAATAGAGGCTCTGACAGCTGTAGGAAGAGAACAAGTATATCAACACACTTGTAATGAAAGTTCCACAGGGAAAGAGAAAAGAGCAAAAATGCCAGTGGGGAAATAATGGTTGGAAATCTCCCACACTTGATAAGAAAAGTTGTGTTGTGGGTATGGTTTGTCCTCCAAGGGTTCCTGGGTGGGAAGCCTGAGCCTCAGTGCAGCAGTGCGGGATCACTGAGAGGTGGAGACCACTGAGAAGCCATTGGGGTGCTGCCCTCAGAAGGGCGTGTGCAGCAACAGTGACCAAAGCTACTTCCAATGAGCGTGAGTTGTCATGAAGAGCAAGGAACCTGGCCCTCTGTGTACTCTAGCTTCCAGTCACCCTGTAATTTCAATCTCTCCCTCTCTCTCTCTCTCTCTCTCTCTCTCTCTCTCTCTCTCTCTTGTGTTCCTACTATGACGTCATCTGCCACATCAGGTAGTCAAGGGGGCCTGTGTCAGAACCAAGTAGGGCTGGGATATGGCTGTTTGGACTTTTGGCCCCCAAATTTATGAGCTAAGCAAAACCTCTTTTTCTTTATCCAGTCTGTGTATTTCATTATAGCAATAGAACACTGACAAGTACAAGATCCAAGAAGCTCAGTGAATTTCAAGTTGGATAAACACGCCTCATACCAGACACATAATAGTTAGGTTTCTGAAATGCAAGAGCAAAGCTAGAATATTCAGACAGCAAGAGAAAAACAAATCTTCACATACAGTAGATCAGCAGTACAATTAACAAGTATATCTCAGTGGAAACAGTACCAGAAATGGTGAAGGCCAGGATGCAACACAGTGACATGTCAAATATGCTAACATGGAAAAACTGTCAGCAAAGATTCTGTATTCCGTGAAACTATCTCACACAAATAAAAATGGAGATAATGTATTGCTACTAAGACTGACTAAAAAGAAATATTGCTAGGGATATAAGTCAGTGGTAAGGCACTTACTTAGCATGGGCAAGACCCTGGGTTTGACACCCACCACCAAGAGAGGGAGGGAAAGGGAAGTGAAGAGGAAAGGAAAGCAAGAGGAGGCAAGGAGGATGAGAGTAAAGGAGGGAGGGAGAGAAAGAGAAAAAATTCTTTAGTGGTAAAAGGAAACAATATCAGACAATAACCAAAATCTGCAACATGGAAAGAAAAGCATGAGAAATGGTAAATATGTAGATACAAACAAAAAAGTCTGTACACACAGTTTTTTTTATTCTCTTCATTACTTCAGCAAAACCATACATTATCTGAAGCAAGAACTATATAATATCATATTGTTGGGTTTAGCACACAAATATAATATATAAAATAAAAACTGTAAAAAGGAAGTGAGAAGAAACATAGCTATAGTGGAGAAAAGTTCCTATTTCTAAGCCAGAATTAAGTCAGAATTAACCTGAAGTAGGGTGTGATACATTTAAAATACATACTGTTGCACGTATGTAATTCTTGGAACAACAACAAAAACAAAAATAACTTTCAAAAATATTATTTATTTATTTTTGGAACTGGGGATCGAACTCGAGTCCTTGTGCTTGAAAGGCAGGCGGTGGAGCCACTAAGCTAAATCCCCGGCCCTTCAAAATTATCTTTTAAAAAAAAAAATCAAGAAAAATTAAAATTTATACTAAAAAATTTAACACAAAAAAAAGTATCAAAGGAAGTACAAAAGGAACAACAAAAAATCATGACATATTGACAACAAACAGCAAAAGGGAAAGTACAAATGCAACCATGTAGATAATATATTAACTGTAAATGCACTAAAAACTGAACAAAAAGCACACATTTATAGACTGAGTGAAAAAATAAAAAGACCTAGACTGGGGATTTAGCTTAGTGGTTCCACTGCCTGCATAGCAAGTGCAAGGTCCCAAGTTCGGTCCCTGGTATCAAAAGACAAACAAACAAACAAACACCTATTATAAGCTGTTTGCATATTTCTATCTATTCCAGAGCCATACTTTAGTTCAAAGATACAAACAGGCTGAACATAAAAGGATGGAAAAAGATGTACCACAGTAACTAAAATTGTAAGAGAACTGGGATGGCTGTAAAAAAATCAAAATTTAAAATTTAAAGTAGGGGCTGGGGATTTAGCTTAGTGGTGCCACCGCCTGCTTAGCAAGCGGAAGGACCCAAGTTTGATCCCTGGTTTAAAAAAAAAAAAAAAAAAAAAAAAAAAAAAAAATTAAAGTAAGGTATATGACATTTCATTATGATAAAAAGAGTTAACAGCCAGGTGTGGTAGTGCACATTTGCTATCCTAGCACTCCTGAGGTGGAGACAGGAGGATCACCATGAGTTCAAGGCTGTGGACTACATAGGAGATCTTGTCTCAAAAAACAAACAAACAAACAACAAAACAAACAAACAAAATAAAATAAACCTCAAAAAAAGGGGAGAGGTTTTTAATATATTGGGAAAATACGACAAAGGTAAATATGTCTTTTTTAATACTGGGGAATGAGCCCAGGGCCTTCATACTGAACTACAACCCCAGCCCTTTTTAATTATTTTAAATTTTGAGACAAAGTCTTGCTAAGTCACTACATTGCCCAGGCTGGGCTTGAAGTTGCAATCCTGCCTCAGCTTCTCAAAGTACTGAGATTACAGATGCGTGCTGAGATTACAGGTCTGGCTAAATGTATATTTATCTTAACAGAACTTCAAATTACAAGGAACAAAAACTGACATCTATAAATAGAAATATAATGCTCAATAACTGGAAATCTTAATATTGATTTCTCTGTAATTCTCAGAAAATTAGTAACTAAAAGGGATACAGAAGAGTTGAGGACCATTATCAGTTAATTTAATCTAGTAATTTGCCTATTTTCCTAATGGTGCCTTTTAATGTACAGTTTTTAAGTGAAACGTAAATTATCTTTTGCTTTTCTGATAATTACTTTGTCCATTCCAACAAATCTCTGCCTTTGAACAGATCTCAGAGACACTTTCCTGCATCTACTTATAGAAGTTTTAGTTTCAGTTTTTCTAGCCTATTGGTCTATCTTAGATTACGTTTTTGTATAGTATGAAGATTAATATTTATTTCAACAGAGATATGTTCTTCCAGCACTACCTGTTGAAATGTTCTCCCTTTCTACTGCCATGGAAATGCTTTGGCACCATTATGAAGTCAACTACCACAGAAGGGTGGGACTACTTCTGAACTGTTTGGTACTGAGGATCGAACTTGGGGCCTATGCTTGTGAGGCAGGCGACGGAACCACTGAGCTATATCCCCAGCCCACTTCTGAACTGTTTAATGTATTCTACGAGAATGCTGAGTGGAAATGCTAAGTGTATCCTTACATTATTCCTGCTTTTAGTGGCAAAGCATTAAAAATTTTACCAAGTATATAGCAGTAAGGGTGGTTTTAGTCTATGAACTTTAATCAGTCTGAGGATGTTCCACTTCTAATTTGTGGACAGGTTTATTATTAATATCATCAATTGATTTTTCTGTATCTGTTGACAGGACCATGTAATTTTTTTTCTTTCACATTGTTATAGTGCTTATGGCTCAGGCTGGGGATTTAGCAAAGTGGTTCTGCCACCTGCCTTGCAAGCATAAGGACCCGAGTTTGATCCCTGGTACCAAAAAAAAAAAAAAGTTCTTATGGCTTATATCTAGATGTTCTACCAACAACCTCATGTGCTCAAACGGAAGGGGGGAGGCTTTTGGATGACCAAATTATGGGGGCTGTAGAGCTGGCCTGCTATTACAAGTGGGCTGTGGGTGGAAGACATGGGTCACTGTGAGTGTTTATCTCTCCTCCTGGTTCTACCCTTGACAAGCTTTGCTTCCTGGAGGCCACGAGGTGAGCGGCTTTCCTCCACCAGACCCATCCTTTCCTGTCTCGGAGCGGGCCAATTATGGACTGAAATGGGAGCCAAAATAAACTTCTCTTCCTTCAATTTGTGGGTGTCAGATATTTTGTCCAGGGATGAGGAAAGTGACTAAGAAAAAAGTAAACTAATTTTTAAATTGATTATTAAATATATTTTTAGAAGGCTTGGGGTTCATAGCAAAAGCACAGAAAGTACAGAGTTGTCATATAATCCCCGCCACCCCCCCAGTTATCAACCCATACCTTCTCTGCTCTACTCAGTCATTCTACTAGCAACACTATGAACCAGAGTGGTATAATTGTTATGGTCAGTGCACCTATGCTGACACCTCACTATCAGTCAGGCCATAGTTTACATGAGTGTTTCCTCTCGGAACAATGTTTTGACAAAATGTACAATGATATTTCCACCATTATAGTATCACATGGTTAAGTTTTAAAACCCCCAAATCCTTTGGTCTACCTTTTCATCCCTCTGTCCTCCTAACTCTTGATAATCACTGATCTTTTCACTGTCTCCCTAGTTTTGCCTTTCCCAGAAACACACAAGTAGCTGTAGCTTTTCATATTGGCTTTTCTGTTTACTGAAGTGCATTTCAGTTTCCTGCTTATCTTTTCATGGCTTGATAGCTTATTTGCTTTTAGTACGGAGTAATATCCATTGTCTGGGATGTACCACAGTTGATTTATCCATTTACCTCCTGAAAAGCATCTTGGTTGCTTCTAAGTTTTGGCAATTATAAATAAAGCTGTCATGAGCATCTCCAGGCAGGTTTTTCTGCGGATGTAATTTTCAACTCCTTTTAATAAATACCAATACACACAAATGCTGGGTTGAATGGTGAGTGTGCTTAATTTGGTAAGAAACCAACAAGTGGTCTTCTAAAGTAGCTCTTCTATTCTACACTCCCACAAGTAATGAATGAGTTTGTTGCTTGCCATCTTCATCAGCAGTCGGTGTTGCAGTTTTGTGGATTTTTGTCAACCTATTAAGTGTGAAATGATGCCTCACTGTTTTAATTTGCATTTTGCTGAGGACATCAGGTGTTGAGTACAGTACCTTTTCACATGTTCGCTTGCCATCTGTGTATCTTCTCTGGTGTGGTGGCCACTGAGGTCTTTAGCTCTCTTTAAAATTATCTTCTCACTGTTTAGTTTTAAGAGTTCTTCGTGTATTTTTGGTAACAGTCCTTCATCAGACATTATCTTCTGCAAATATTTTCTCCCAGTCTGGGCCCTACCTCATCATACTCTTGACATTGATTTTTTTTTTGGCACCAGGGAACTGGGAAATCAACTTAGGACCGAGCACACCAGGCAGGCACTGTGCCGCTGAGCTAAATCTCCAGCCCTCTGACACTGATTTTTGAATGTTAATCTAATTTGTAGTCCCATAATAAATTCTACTTGGTCATATCTTGTCCTTTTTATATGCTGCTGGGTCCAATTTATTTGTCTGTTGGTTGGTTAGCTGGTTCACAGAATTAAACTCAGGGCCTTTGCGCTGAACTACATACTTTTAAAAATTTTTTATTGTTTGAACTTTGAGACAGGATCTTGCTGGGCTGTGCTCAAATCAGCAAACCTCTTGTTTCTACCTCACCTGTAGATGGGAATACAGGTATACACCATACCCAGTGCTACCTTACAAAATTTTGAGCAAACTTCCTAATGAATAATTTAGTTTTATTTGGTCATTAGAAATGGACTATCTTTAGATATTTGGGAATGAGAAGGGGACCAAGAGATGGAGGAAGTAGGGGAGAGAAAGAGGAAGTAAAAAGAATTAAGATGTGGGCCAGGGATTTAGCTCAGTGGTTCCACTGCCTGCCTTGCAAGTGCAAGGTTCTGAGTTTGATCTCCAGTATCCACCACCACCACCAAAAAAAAAAAAAAAAAAAAAAAAAAAAAAAAAAAGAAAAAAAAGAATTAAGATGCATTATGTTCATGTACCAACTTCCCATGTTGAGTATAATCATTATGTTCTACAAACATGTATTAATAAATATTTTAAAAAAAGAAATTAGAGTGTTTCTTGTAAGGAATTATTTTTGCTTTGAATCATGTATTAAAAAAAAGTGGCACGGACTAGGGCCGCCTGCCTCCCAAGTGCAAGGATCCAAGTTTGATACCAGGTACCCCCCAAAAAAAAGTGACAAAAAAAGAGAAATGAACTGACTCTAGAACAAAACCCACAACAACAGTATTAGTGAACCAATTAGATAAGACTGGTTAGGAAAAGAAAACAAATATGAAAGCAAAAGAGAATAATTAAAAAATTTAAATAATGCATAGCTATAACTATTCCAATGAATCTTAAATTTCATCTTTGTACCTGTTTGCTTTTATATTACAACATTACTTTGAACCAGTATACATTTTTCTAATTACCTTAAAAATATATTTCACACATAACATCTACAGTAAATTACCATAGAACTACAAGTAAGCTTTCTAAATCTCTAGTAGAAATTATCTTGCTACAAGTCATACATCACAATATACAAACTCATCTTTACTTACCTGTAACTTTAGTTCCAATAACCAAGGGCAAAGGAATTTCGTCTGGGAGATCTTTGAATTGTGAAACATCTGCAACTTTCCTTTGTTGTAAGAGCCTTATTTTCTGCCGTTTCTGTTTTAATGCTGATCTCTCTTCCTCAAAAAATGCAGAAGAACATCTAGAATAAATTATAAAAATCATATAAACTGATAACTATCCTATATAGAAACTTAGAATCTCACCATCCATCTCACTGGTGCATTTTTACTTCCCTTTTTTTTTTTGGTACTGGGGATTGAACTCAGGACCTTGTGTGCTTGAGGCAGGTGGCAGAACCACTGAGCTAAATCCCTGGCCCCCCATTTTGTTTTTGAGACAAGGTCTTACTATATAGTCCAGGCTGGCCTTGAACTTTTATGTAGCCCAGACTGGCTCTGAACTTTCAGTGATCCTCCTGTCTCAGTCTCCTGAATGCTGGGATTACAGGCATGTACTACCACTCCTGGCTACTTCACCTTCTTTTGTGCATTGTATTTTTGCTTACTTGTTTAGGATTTATTTATTTTGATACTAGAGATTGAACTCAGGACCTTGTGCTTGAGAGGCAGGCATGGTGCCAGTAAGCTAAATCCCTGACCCTAAGTACTGTATTTTTAAACAGGACTATAGACACTGCTTCCCTGTAAATTACCCTTAATAAAAAAAAAAAAATTAAAAAAAGAACCTTGGAAGACAAAGATGTATAAGCAAGCCTAAGTTCTTCCTTCCTATACCAACCTTTTTTTGGGGGGGTACCGGGGATTGAACTCAGACCTTGTGTTTGAGGCAGGTGGTGGCACCACTGAGCTAAAGCCCCGGCCCTCTAAGCCAACCTTTGACACAATCATGTCTGGAACCTAGGTCTGCACGTAAGGATGAAGTGCAATTTCAATATTCTGTTCAGAAGAACATGGCATCTTTTTGATCCAGTGAGCACATTAATACAGATATTTGAGATGAGATTTGCCACTGTGTAAACTTTTTAATTTTTTTTTTTTTGGAGGGGGGGTTGAGACAGGGTCTCACTATGTAGTTGAGACTGCCCTGGAACTCACTATGCAGACCAGGCTGGTCTTGAACTCAACAGTGATTCTCTTGTCTCAGCCTCCCGAGTGCTGGGACTACAGGCGTGCACCACCACGTCTGGCTGCCACTGTGTAAACTTTTAATTACACTTCCTGTCTTGAAGTCTGAATACTGGATTTGTTCTTTTGTAGGGCCTTCCTTTTTCAAATTCCAAGATGAATCAAAGTATTTAAACATAACTTTCATACCATCTTACAGTTACCACCTTCAAAGACACATTATGAGATTTTCATTTCATTTAAATAGTCTCAAAAACTAGTAACAACAAGCAAAAAACAAATGAAGACCAGCATAATTTTCAAGTGGATCATAGTGAATAATGATAAATAAGGACTGAAAATATACAGAAAATCTTAGCCAATACATTCCGACTTCAGAATATGAATACTCATTCAAACTGATACAGGAAGAATGTGACAAAACAAAGCACTGGGTTACTAGTAAATTGAATAGTGTCCTAATTTTTTTTCCCTTTCTATACTATAGATTGAACCCAGAACCTTTGTACTGAGTATGCTATCAGTCCCTTTTAAAATTTGTTAAAGTGGGTGTGGTAGCACACACCTGTAATACCAGCACTCAGGAGGCTGAGGCAGGAGGATCACCCCAAGTTCAAGGCCAGGCTGGGCTACACAGTGAGTTCAAGGCCAATCTGGACTGCACTGAGTGTCTGTGTCAAAAAAAAAAAAAAAAAAAAAAAGTCTTGGCAGTTAAGAACCCAGGCCTCACACTATCTCCATATAGTTAACAATCAGAACCGTTTGCTTCTTTTGCATGTCACAGTTCTCATAACCCTTCCTGTACCCAATTTCCCCAATTTATTTATTTATTTTTTCTTGGTACCAGGGATCGAACTCAGGAGTTTGCGCTTCCGTGGTGCTACCACCACTGAGCTAAATCTCTTGCCCTTTATTTAGTTGTTAATGCTTTGAGTACAATTAGCATATAATAAATTGCAAATGTTTACAGTGTACAATTTGATAAAGTTTTGACATACACTTGAATTATATAACTCAAATTCCTCACTGCAATCAAGATAATGAAACAGCTCTGAAGTGTCCTTGAGTCACTGTATTCCTCCTTTGCAATTTTCTCATTCCCCTAATTCTCGGGCAACCACTAAGTCTCGAACATTATAGTTTTTATCTTCTATCATCTAGTTACATCAAAAGAATCATTTGGTATATACTCCTGTCAGTTTCTTTTGCTCAGTAACTATTCTGAGTTTTATCCACGTTGTTGCATGAAATCAGCTGCTCATTCGTTTACACTGGTAATATTCCACTGCATATGTGTGTGACAATTTGTCAGCTCACCTACTGGACACTTGGGATATTTTCAGTTTTTGACTATTAAAAGTTGCTATGTAAAGTAGTATATCAGTTTTTGTAGAAATATATCCTTTCATTCCTTTTCTCTCTTTCTTTGTGCTGGGACTACTGCACCACCACACCTATGTTGTACTTTCTTGCTCTTTTTTTTGTTTTTTGTGGCACTGAGGATGGACCTCAAGGCTTTGGACTTGCTAGGAAAGTACTGTGCTCTACCACCGAGCTACCTATCTGCCAGCCCTCCTACCTTTTTTGGTGGTACTGAGGATTGAAGCCAGGAGCATTCCACCACTGAGCTATATTCTCAACCCTTTTTATTTTGAGTCAGGGTCTTACAATGTTGCCCAGACTAGCTTTGAACATGCAACTGAAGCATCTATTCAGATTTTTAAAACTTGATTGTTCATTTCTTAAGAGTTCTTTATGCTTCTGGACATAATATACATACTTCCACCAACAAAATTTTCTTTAAATAGTATTTTCTGGATAGTTAATACATTTGTGTGGCTTCTGATTTTCAGAAAGTGTTGAAAATTCTTGCTGGATGTGGTTGGTGCATGCCTGTAATCCTCCCATTATTTGAAAAGCTGAGGTAGGATTGCTGCAAGTTTGAGGTAAGCCTGAACCAGCAAGATCTTGTCTCAAAAAACCAAAAACAAACCAAAAAAGGTGTTGAAAATTCTTATGCCTATACTCCTCAGTTACCTAGTTTGGTTCCCAGAAGATCATTATTATACATTTTGAATACGTCCTTTACCGGTGCTTTAGGCACACACAAGCCAAAAAAGGTATGTGCTCCCTCCTATTGTTCTCAAATAATTTCAGTATGCATTACACTTATTTTGCATTCTTAATATAGCCTAGCAATCACTTTTGTTGTCAATATATACAGAGCTGTTTTTGTTGCTAGGGGATAAATACTAAGCATGCATACGCTCTACCACTAAGCTACATTCCTAGTCCACGTTTTCATTTTATGTTAAGTGATTTCAGAGGTTTTTATTCTAGGTATCATACTATAATCATTCCTGTATTTATGGATATTTTTTATTTCTAATCTTTTGCTATTACAAATAAAATTGCAAAGGATATATATTTCATCTGTATTTCTATGGTATAAATTTTTAGAAGTGCTAGGTTAAAGAATGTGGAAATTTATAAATTTGACTATTATTAAATTGCCTTCCACAGTGATTAAAATTAATCCCTCACTAGCAGTATACAGCAGAGTAACTCTCTCCCCATATTATTGCCAACTCAATTTTTTTTTTTGTTGTTTTTTGAAACAGGGTCTCACTATGTAGTTGAGACTAACCTGGAACTCACTATGTAGCCCAGGCTGGTCTTGAGCTCACAGCGATCCTCCTGCCTCAGCCTCCTGAATGCTGGGATTTCAGGTGTGTGCTACCACACCTGGCCTCAACTCAATGTTAAATAAAGCTTTATGAAATTTGTCAATCTCAGAATAAAAACCACTACCTCAATATACTTTCATTTTGCATTTCCTATGAGGAAAACTGAAATTTTTTCATGTTTAGTGAGTCATTTCTTCTTCCTTGCCTATGACATTATTTGTACATAATTTTTATTATGGGTTATTTAACTTATTGGTTTGTAGAACTTCTTTACATATTAGGGAATTAACCCTCTGTTTTTGATAAGAGTAATGTGTATTTATATTGCTGTGTTTTGACTTTTCTCTTTTGACAATGCAAAATGTCATAATTTCAATGAAGTCTAAATTACTGGTATTCTTTTATGGCTTTTAGCTTTGGGGCTTATTAGAGACCTCTTCTAAGCTTGGCTTCATGGTGCACACCTGTAATCCCAGCACTGTGGGAGGCTGAGCCTGGAGGATCCCAAGTTTGAGCACATTCTGGGTAACTTAGTGAAGGTCTGTCTCAAAGGAAAAGAAACCACAGGGGTTGGGGATATAGCTCAGTGTGAAGGCTTTGGGTTTAAATCTCCAGTAACATTAAAAAAAAAAAAAAATCAGTGTAGTAATAATAGTATCAACTGTTCAACTATTTATTGATTTTATTTTAAACAAAACTTCACTTTTACCTCCGTGGTTTTCCCATAAGCCGTCTGATTTTTCCCCATTCTACTCTTGTTAACTTTCTTGTTTTCAAATTAGGAAAAGATTCCTTTAGACATACACAGAAATCATTATCACCCTCAAAAAGTGGTCTGTAAAACAGAAATGGTATTTTATTGGTTAATATATAACGTGTTATATACTTTCTTAAAAGACATAAAATTCAAAATATGCATTTCAGTTTTCCTAATCATATTAATAACAAAATGCTAACTTTCACTTCTACCCCATTTATACATAAAATAGCCACAAATCCAAAGTGCTAAAACTAAATCCTTGACATTTGTGAAATAACTAATGTGTAAAAGGGACTCACGAAACACTATCTGCTTTAGAGTACAGGAGATAGTGATTTTTGTTCAGTCTCCTACATGGGGATATGTGTGAATCTATTCTTAGGGAGGCTATCTTAGCCCTGGTAGTACAGTTGACAAAGATAAACAAGATCTTTGTCCCAAAAGTAATACCATCACCAATAAGTCAGGATTAAACTAGTCTTGGAATGCTACAGGACTCTCAAGGGTTAGATTAGGTTTTGGGAATCTCAAAACTCAGATCAAAGTAAGGCACTCTGAAAGCCTTCATAAGTGTAAGGAAAATCTGTGCACAAAAACAATCTTATTCATGAATTTGGGAAAGCAGTCTTCACAAAGATACATAAATACTTTGGGCTCAAATATGAGTATCTGAGATAGACAAGCTTCAGAGTAGGCAGATGGTTTGGAAAGTAAAAGGGAAGTAAAAATACATACCAGCAAACCAAGAACCAACAGTGGCATATAAGGATAGATTAGAAATTAGAATTTTACTCAATAAATTCTATTGTTAAACAAATGGATTTCAGACAAATCTTCACACCATGTTCTATTCAAACATTTATGTATAGCTAAACTGCTTAAGGACTATATCCAAAATATAAAGACTACCCTCCTAAAAATTTTCCTGAGTTATTTTTAATGTAAGTTTGAAATTACAATAGCACTTAAAACTCTCAAGACATAAATCTCACTCACTGCAACTAATGCTTTGTCTTAGGGTATCCCTATTTATTGTCATTGTTAATTATAATGCAGAAATTATACTTTCATTTAATTTTTTAACAAATTGTATAACTTCTTCCCCAAACAGGGGTAGAGAAGGTTGAACGTGTGTAAGAAATAAATATGAATCAAACTGAAATAAGGAATAGAAAACTAGGTTCAACAGTGGACATGAATTATCCCATTGTCCCCAGCTACTCAGAAGGCTGAAGCAGAAGGATCATTTGAGTCCAGGAGTTCAATAACAGCCTGGGCAACCCAGCCAGACCCTATCTACCCACAAAGAAATGAAGCGGGGGGAAGAAAAGAAAAAAAAGAAAAGAGTGAACTCAAGAAAAAAGTAAGATGAAGATAAGCTTATAGCAAAGGTTGTAGCTTATAACATTTGAAAAACTTAAATTTTTGGTTCAAGTAATATTCAGGATATAAACCATGATACATACTTATCTATATTTGAATAGAACCACTCATATATGCACCATTTATGTGCTTTTGGAAGCTTGAGTAGGTTCCGTAATCGAAAACCAATCTTCTGTGAAGCTTTCTTATCTGGTGTAGACATTGTTGCTGTAAATTTCTATACAATTAAAAAATAGATTAATTACAGCTCCATTAAGTAAAAATGAACAGTTACAACATTGAATACATTTGTAAAAAGTTATGCTTAAGTACTAAACAAGATTCAAAGATACTCAACAAGGAATTTTTGTTATTGTTTGACAAGTACCATTCTGGTTATTTCTTACAGTTAAAAGCCTCAAATTTCATAACACATTCTGACAAGAAAAGTGAAATTATGTGCCCATACCATGTTCGAATTGCAATATAATTTCTATGTACATACATAAGAAGAAAAGACTTACATGAAATAATCCTAGACTTCATGGGTTAAGAAAAGACTAGAAAGAACTACCGCACTGGTGCAGTGGCACAGCACTTGCCTGGCCTGCGTGAGACTCTGGGTTCACTCCACAGCATTGCACAACAAAACACACAAACCCACTGTTGAGAGGACAGAGAGAGGGAATGTGCACACATGCAAGCAAGCACTAGGCCCAGATACAAATTCTGATCACACTGGAGAACTAATACTATTCAAATATTTTAGGTCACCAAAGAACAAAAAGCTTCCCAACTATTTGTAGAAAGTCAGCATACTAGACAACAAAATCTGCTAAAGTATAATAAAACTTCAGAAAATACGATTCATGTGTATGGATTGTTAAAATCCTTAAAAAAAAAAAAAACACAACTTACCAGACAAGTACCATTAGATCAAAAGAATACAATGTAAACCAATGAAATTCATATCAAGGATGATCCAGTACTAGGAAATTATTAATGTAATTCACCATTATTAATAAATCAAAACCAAAAAAGTAATAACCTCCAACAATAACAAAAGTGTTTGAACAACACCCAAAAAACACTCTGGAGGTTGAAGCAGGATTGCAAGTTTGAGGCCAGCACAGGCAACCTATAAAGACCTTGCCTCAAATTTAAAAAATAAAGAGAAATGAGGATGTGCTCAGTGATAAAGTACTGTACTTGCCTAGTATGTGGAAGGCCCTGGGTTCAATTCCAACAGCCCTGTCCCTCCACCTCACCAAGAAAAAGAAATGACTGAAAAAAACACAACATAATAAAAATGAAACAATAGAGGTAATATCCTTATAGGAAGATTTAGACTTAATTCTTAACCGATTTTACAAAAGGAATATCTCAAATAAATAACCTACTTAGTTCCTTTCTGTTGCCAGTAACAGTGGGTGGATTATAAAGAAATTTATTCTTGCTCACAGTTCTGGAGGTCTAAGGTCAAAGGGTCACAGCTGGTGACAGCCTTCTTGTGGTAGAGTCCTGTGGCAATGCAAGGCCTTACATGGTAAGAGAGCACATGAGCGTGTATCAAACAAGGGTCTGGTCTTTCTCCCTCTGTCACCAGGACTTAATCATGAGGGTTCCATCTGAATAACTTTATCTAATCCTAGTCAGGTCTTCTTGATGCTTCACAGTGGGGACTACAGTTCAACAATCCTGTGGCACAAGTGCCCCAACAGGTTGTATCACTGAAAGCTCTAAAAGGTTCACCATCACTGCCTTAAAGGATACTCAAGCCATATCCAAACCATAGCATTGCCTTTCTACCTTAAGAAACTAGAACAAGGAAAGCAAAAATAAAAGAAAGCTGAAGGAAAGAAATAGGATTAGAACAGAAATAAGTAAAACAATATAAAAAATAGATTAATCAAATCAGTGAAACTAAAAGTTCTTTGAAAATATTGGTTTTCAGTATTTCAAAATCAACAAGCCCTGGGTTGCTTGCCTCTCTCTGAAGTTCCAGGTTCTTCTTACTTTGAACAAAGAATTGAATGAAATGAGTGAAACTCAGTGGCCCAGTTTATTTGAGAAAGTAAAAGTGACAAAAATTATTTTTGCAAAACCAAACCAAACCAAACCAAACAAGAACAAACAAGATCTCCCACACAAGCCTTTAAATTAGGCTAACCAAGAAAAAAAAAAAAAAAGGAGGTCTGGGGATTTAGCTCAGTGGCACAGCACCTGCCTGGCAAGTGTGAGGTCCAGAGTTCGATCCCTGGTATCAAAAAAAAAAAGGATACTTTCTTAACTTGAATGTGGTGTCCCCTAAATTTCATATGCTGGAAACTTAATCCCCAAATAAGTTCATGTCATATATTAACATGGTACATATGTGTTAATGAAGATAGGACTAAGTTAATGAAGATAGTGACTAAGGCATCCATGAGGATTCACCCCTGCATGGATTAGGGGGTTACCTAAAGAGTGGCTTTGTTCCATAAAACAGAACTTCAGCTAGGTGTGGTAGCTCAGACCTGTAATCCCAGCAGCCTGGGAGGCTGAGGAAGGAGGATCAAACCTTCAAGCCCAGCCTGGCCAACTTAGTGATTTAGGGAGATCCTGCCTCAAAATAGAAAGTAAAGAAGGGCTGAGGGTGCAGCTCAGTGTGAAAACCTACATTTAGTCACCACTACCACACATACAAAATAAATCTCTCTTGCACGTATGCCCCATTCTGGAATGTGGTGCTGTCTGCCAGGCCCTGACCAAGTGGGAAGGCTCTTGCTAGATGCTGAGCAGAGGCTAGTACCATGGTCTCAGATTTCCAGAGCTATCATTCCTGACTTAAATAAACCTCCTTTCTTTATAAATGAACCAGTTGTTGACAATCAGGACGAGCAAAAGAAAACAGACTAAAATGCTTGACAAAATATATATTTCTCTTCATCCCAATCCAAAAATCCATATTGGGCTAGAGATATGGACAAGGAATAATACAGGTCTTAGCATGCACAAGACCCTGGGTTCAATCTGCAGCCCTGGAAAAAAATCTGTATCGTGCTCAATGTTTAAATACTAAAAACATACTAATTAAAATCAGGAATATAATCACTGTTTTAAAGGAATTGGCCAGTTAGATAAAGACTAACAAAAACCAGAAAGAAAACAAAACTATCATTACTACATTTGCAAGTGATATGACACTCCCAAAAGCATAAAAACAAACAACTGTAACTATGAAAAACAATAAGAAAATTTAATGAAGTAGGTAAACACAAAATTGATATGTAAAATGACTATCCTGGGCCACCATGCCTGGCCTAACAAATTTAATATATTAGCTGTAAGTTTTCTATGCAGTAAATATGCTTGTATAAATTTCAGTTTTTCAGCTGCATTGAAATCATTTCTGTGGATTATAATCACCACTGCAAACTGTATGCAAAATCTATATTTGAGTAAATTTCTTAATTGGAATAAGTGCTTCAGTGTTGAAATCAAAGTTCCTCATTTCCTAAAACTGTGTGATCATTAGATAATAATATGTACGTCATGATAATGTAAGTGGTTTTTCTTTATTCATATTAATCTTTCTCATTATAGCACACTGTTGAGCCATCTCATCTTTGTATAGCATTACTGCTCCTTTGTTTTTATGTTTCCTTCACTTTCCCTTGTAGTAACAGTCTGTTACTGATTCCTAAGAGATGACAGATAATTCAGTATGTAAAGATGTTTATGTGAAGATGCCATTGTGAAATACTTTGTGTTTCCTTTTTACTTTGTTGTTTTATTTTTTAGTTATGTTTTGAAATATATTCAGACTGTTTTATTAACAACAACAACAACAACAAAAATAGAGTATCCTGATCACTGTCCAAGATAAATTACTCTTTAGCTAAGCATGGTGGTTCATGCTTATCATCTCAGCACTCTGGAAGTCTGAGGCAGAAGAATTAAATTTAAACCTAGCCTGGGAAACCTGGTAAATTAGCAAGACCCTGTCTCAGAATTAAAAACTAAAAAAGAAGGCTAGAGATGTAGTCAGTGCAAAGGCCATGTGTTCAACCTCCTGTACCTTCTCCAATATTAATCTTTTCTAAATGTAAGTAAGACTTGGTTAGATAATAAAACTATAAAAATCTTGTTTATAAGATGGGGTGGGAGAGCAAAAGATAAGGCCAGGGATGTAGCTCAGTAGTCCTGCACCTGCCTGGCAAGCTCAAGGTCCTGAGTTTGGTCCCTAGTACCGACTAAAAAAAAAAAAAAAAAAAAAAAAAAAAAAAAAAAAGCAAAAAATGACAATGATATTAAATACCTAGGCATACACTTAGGAAATGTGCAAGACTAATATGGGAAAAATTAAAATTATTATTATCTTGTGAGAAACATTAATAACTGAATTCCCAATCAGTTCTTGGATAGTCTCAATGTCACATACATATCATTCCCCACAAATTAATTTATCATATTATATAATCCCAATAAAAAAGTCAATAGGATTTCTTTCCTACTCAGTTGATTCTAAAGTCCACATGGAAAAATAAAAGTGCAAGAATTAGGAAAAATCTAAAACAAATAATGTCTTGCCAGACATTAAAACACAATAAAGCTACATTAAAACAATTTGAGCCTCGCAAGTGCAAAGGCCCAGTTTGATCCCTGGTACAAAAACAAAACAAAATAAACAAAACAATCTGACCATAGCACATATAGAGATACATTAGGCATAAAGACAAAAAGCCCAGCTGGGCGTGGTGGCACATGCGATAATCCCAGCACTCAGGGGAGGAGACAGCAGGAGCGCCTTGAGTTCCAGGCCAGGATGGGCTACACAGTGATCAAGGCCAGCCTGAACTGTAGAGCAAGACTAGCCCCTCCCAACCCCAAAACCTTAAAAGTAATCCCAAATATATATATAGATATTTAACTTGTGGTAAAGAAAGATTTTTACATCACTATATAAAAGATGGATTATAATAAATGTTACCAAGAAAATTAGCCCTCTGAGGGAAACACAGGTTGCAGTCTTCATTCCTTACTCTAAAATAAATTCAAGATTTAAACATTTTAAAAAAATGAAATAAGAGGAAATATGAGAGAATTCTAAAACCACATAAATTTTAGATTAGGGAACTCAATCTTTCTGAGGATGACAAATTCAAGAAATAACAAAAAGTGTGAGTGTAGTGGTGCGCACCTATAATCCCAGCACTCAGGAGGCTGAGGTAAGATCAATTATAGTCAAGGCCAACCTGGGGTACACAATGAGTACACAACAGAATGAGACCCTGTCTCAAAAAACAAAAACGAAAATCAAACAAACAAAAACCCCAAAAATGTCATACTTTAAAAATTTTTAAAAATCGGGCATGTTGAAAAATATAGAAATAAAAACAAAGTAAAAACAATTATAATACATATAAATGATCAAAGAAAGGGTTAATACTCTTAATATACACAAAAACCTTATAAACTAATAAGAAAAGGATATGAAAATGGGAAAAAATTTACAGAAGAGGAAATTTACTTTTAAGCATATGAAAGTATTTCAATCTATCTCACAGATATAATGCCACTCACAGATATAAAAACGAGTTTCTTTCTATATCAGATTAGAAAATATGGATGTGTGGTCATACACTGAGTTGGCCAGCCTTTGGAAAAATAGGGACTCTTATTTGTTGGTTGAAAAGTATAAAACAGTATACTTTCTTTGGGAGAATAATTTGGTACTGCTTTTTTTTTTTTTTTTTTTTTTTTGAGACAGGGTCTCACTATGTAGTTGAGACTGACCTGGAACTCACTATGTAGCCCAGGCTGGTCGCAAACTCACAGCGATCCTCCTGCCTCAGCCTCCCTCTCGAGTGCTGGGATTACAGGAGTGTGCCACCCACACACAGCTGGTACTACTTTAAAAACTTTAACTATGTGTAGTCTATGATACAGCAACTTCACATTTTAGGCATCTGTCTTAGAAAAGTAGTTGTAAAATTGTTCAAACATGCTTGGGATGTTCAGTGTGGCACTGTTATAAGAGTCAAAATTCAGAAACAACTTAAATGCTCTGAAATATAAGAGTTTATACCACATTAAAAAGAAATATTTGTACTGGGGATTTAGCTCAGTGGCACTGTTCCTGTCTCACAAACTCAAGGTACTGAATTCGATCCCTGGTATGGGGGTGGGAGGGCAAACAAAAAGAAATGTTTAATTCTGTTTGCCTACCTTAATCTATCAACATGGCCAGATGTCTAAAAAGACGTTCTTAAATGAAAGAATAAAAAGAGTGATGCACGGCACAGTTTCATGAAAATGATACTAAGGTGTAATTTAAAAATATACATATTGAGCTGGGCATGGTGGCGCACGCCTGTAACCCCAGCACTCGGGAGGCTGAGGCAGCAGGATCTCTGCGAGTTTGAGACCAGCCTGGGTTACATAGTGAGTTCTAGGTCAGTCTCAATTACATAGTGAGACCTGAGAGGCCAAGTCTTAGGTCAGCCTAGACTACATAGTGAGTTCAAGGTGAATGTGAGCTACACAGCAAGACCTTGTCTTAAAAAAACAAAATGATGGCCTGACTTGCAAGCGCAAGGATCTGCATTTAATCCCCAGTACCAAAAAAAAAAAAATAAATAAATAAAAACAACAACAACAAACCCAAAATTGAACTTATGGTGATCCTCCTGCCTCAGCCTCCCGAGTGCTGGGATCATAGGTGTGCACCACCATGCCCAGCAAAAGTGGTACCATACTATTTTTTGTTTTTGTTTTTTGAGACAGGTCTCACTATGTAGTTGAGACTGACCTGGAACTCACTATGTAGCCCAGGCTGGTCGCAAACTCAGCAATTCTCCTGCCTCAGCCTCCGGAGTTCTGGGATTACAGGTGTGTGCCACCATGCCAATCAGTACCATACTATTAATTAAAGACTTTATTTGGATTTCATCAGTTTTTTCATTAATATCCTTTTTCTGTTCCAGTATCCAATTCAGGATACCAGATTGTAATTATAAAATTAAATTTTTAATGAAAAATAAAAAAAATTGTAAGCCAGCTGTTTAGCATTAAATAACAACCAACTAGCCAGGCATGGGGACTCATTCCTGTAATGCCAGCACTCAGGAGGCCAAGAGTTTAAAGCCACCCTGGGCTACAGTTCAAGGCCAGCCTGAATTACACAGCAAAACCTTGTCTCAAAAAAATGAAAAAAAGTTACCTTAAAATATTTTTAGCACAAAAAATGCTATAATTCTTTCCAGTTAGTGACCCAAATTTTTAAATAGGGTATTAGTAGCTCATTGGAGATATATATACATGAAATATATATATCCATTGCCCAATATAGAATATATTTATATCCAAGAGTATATAACAAAACTCTTGAATAGAATCTTTTCAGGTATGAGAATATAAAGTCTTTATGGGACTATTATTACAACTTTTACGGATAGATTATTTGATAGTATCTTCCATATTTTAAATGTAAATATCCTTCTTATAGTAATTACCCCTCGGGGGCCAGGGATTTGGCTCAGTGGTTCCGGTGCCTGCCTCGAAAGCTCAAGGGCCTGAGTTCGATTTTGGTACAAAAAAAAAAAAAGAATGGTAGTAATTACCCTTCTAAGGTTTATTCAACAAATGAAAACTAGAGAATGATTGCTACTAGGTATGAGGGTTCTTTCTGGGATAAAAATGTTCTAAAATTGTGGAGATGACTGTAAAACTTTGCACATATTAAGAACAACTGAAATACATATTTTAAGTAGGTGAATTGTACGATATGTGAATTATACTTCAATAAAAGCAGGACCCTGGAGACAAGCTGCCTTCCATTTTAGTATTGGCCTTCACTTTCTAGTTTTGTGACCTCGACAAGATATTTAACTTCACTGTGGTTTTTCATCTGCAAAATGAAGAGTAATATAATAGTAACCTATTTCATAGGGGTTGTTGGAAATTAAATATAAGCAATACATATCAAATGCTTAGGACAAGATCCGGCACATAATAAGTACTCAGTAAAAACTGGTTTTCGTAATTCTTCAGCTCTGGATGTTTTCTTTAAATAAACACACAGACAGGCTGGGAATGCAGCTCAGTGAAACAGCAGCTGACTAGCATGTGTGCAAGGCCTGGATTTGATCCCCCGCACCACAAAATACAGACAGACAGAGAGATGGACAATAACATCCAATGGATTCAGAGAATGTGATTAGAAATGTAAGGGAATAAGCTACATCAAATAAATGAAGAATGAAAGAACAAGGGATGTTAAAACTAGTAAAGAGAAAACTCAGAGGATCTAACATATTTTTAGGTATTTGAAGAACTCTCCTATTGTATTTATTACATATTTGCTCCATGTTCTATCATTTCTGTACTGATCCAAAGGAGAAAGGCCTCTGCCACAGTCCCGCAGGGGGGATGTGGCTGAGAAGGAAGGCAGTGAATAAAACTGGACAGTTCACACCATAAAGGCCGAAGTTTTCTGTATGCTTGTGAGCCATCAGATTCTCCTAGCAACACAATTCTTCCAAAGTCTAATAGAATTACTATGTATTCATTTCTTGTATTCATTCAACCCTGTACCCAATATTTACCAAGCCCAGAAACACATTTTATTTTCAATAATGTCAAAATTTTAAATTGCACTTCAGGTATTTATGTTCATTTGTTGTTAATGTTTATAAAAAGTTTTAGATTTATTTTGTTCATTATACAGAACATGAATATATTTTACTATTTAAAATTATCATAAAGATATGGAAAAATTTTTGGCTGGACATGTTGATGATGTTCATGCCTTTGATAAGAAAATTACCTCCAGCCGGGCATGGTGGCGCATGCCTATAATCCCAGCACTCAGGAGGCTGAGGCAGGAGGATATCCGTGAGTTCAAGACCAGCCTGGGCTACATAGTGAGTTCCAGGTTAAGTTTCAACTACATAGTGAGACACTGTCTCAAAAAACCATAAGAAAATCACCTCTACTATGAAAGGTGAACAGGAGTAATTATGTAAGAAATTATAAATCAGATAAGAAAAAAAATACAGTACTCTTAAAGTTAATATGTTCATATTCAATTTTTATTCCTCTGATTATTACATGTCCACTATGAAACTATGAAAAAATACACAAACAACAACAACAACAAAAAGACAAAGGTCAAAAATAAAAAAGGGCCAGGGATTTAGCTCAGTGGTTCCATCATCTGCTTCACAAGTGCCAAGGACCCGAGTTTGATCCCTAGTACCAAAAGGGAGAAAAAAAAACAGAGAGAGAGAGAGAGAGAGCGCAAGGGTGCAGCTCAGTGGCAGAGCTCTTGCCCTAGCACCCCCCAAAAAATTAAAACCAAAAAAAGGAAATCTAATCTTTTGCTTTATGTTTTTCTCATTTGCATAAAGTCTTCAACATGCTTCCTAATATGTTAAACATTTTTCCTGCTTATTTCCATTCAAAACTCCAAACTGATTCCATAATGTTCAATCTATTTGCTTTACGTCCACTATCTTCATTCTTATAGAGCAATGACTGCCTTTCCACTCTGGTTTAAAGTCAACCAAAAAACCATGACACTTTCTAAATAACTAAAATAGAAGTCAAGCAACAGTACTTATTTAAAGAAAAGGACTTGTTACTCATAATAGAAAAAATACAAACTTTATCATGTTGAGTGATTGATTATTTCTTTTCACAAAAAACAAAATTTCATCACACACATACCTGTGGAACCATTGCAACTCTCTGGTTTCTTTTAGGTGATTTTGTATTTATTTGTCTATCATCTTCATCAGAAAAGAGTCGACTTCGTTTTGAATTTCTGAAAGGCTATGATAGAATTTTTTTTAAATGAAAAAGCAGAACATTTCTTATTATTTTTTTTAAAGGTTTTTATTGAAGAGTTACCATTTATTGAATATTCAGCAAGCACTTTCCTGTTCTTTCTTTTTTTGGGGGGGGTAGTTTGAGACAGGGTCTCACTATGTAGTTGAGACTGACCTGGAACTCACTATGTAGCCCAGGCTGGTCTCGAACTCACAGCAGCCCTCCTGTCTCAGCCTCCTGTGTGCTGGGATTACAGGCATGTGCCACCACGCCTGGCAGAACATTTCTTATTTTTGTCCCAAATTACAATTTTATATTTGGAAACTACAACTAACTATGGATTATTAGCAGTATAGAAGGCTAAGTATGAGTAACACAACACACATAAAGCAAGAAAATCTTACATTTAGAAAATATTAAAAACATAAACTTATGTGATTTGTTTATAAATGAAACACCTAGCTGATGATAAAGCTAAAACCAGAACTCAAGTCTCCTTAGGACACTGGTAGCCTTGGATGAGGAGGACAGGAAAGTAAGTTCTGGAAATTCCAGTTCAAATTATGTTGGTGAATATTAACTGAGTGTATCACATGATGTCTAATGCATAGGGCTGGGCTGGGACAAAGGCATTAAATTACTCAAGAAGAAGAAGAAGCCTAATTGTATATAGTACTATACTAGATTTGTTGTCAAAATTGTCACCCAAATTTCTCTTTGTAACTAAAAATACAGAAACATATACAAATATATAAAGAAGATACTTTATAATTACCTTTACAGCTTAAAAAATTTAGGTACCAAAATACACAATACTCAAGGGTCTATACAACATGATAAAATTTATAGTCCTCCCTAGGTTGAGAGTTCTCACGAACAGAGACAAAGAATAGAAATTGTATCCCAGTAAGATCCCACCAAGAAAAATCATATCTGTGGAAGGCAGCTATACTCACAACTATTCCAAGTCTTCATGCCTACCTGGAAAGGATACAGGTGCAGAGGGATAACAATACACAGACACACCCAATGGAGTCAAATTAAGAAGCCTGAAATTAAACTCATAGCTCCAATAGTTAAGTTCCTTCTGGAGTCAAATTAAGAAGCCTGAAATTAAACTCATAGCTCCAATAGTTAAGTTCCTTCTGCCTTCCCCCTTCCCTGACCACAATTAGCAGGAGGAAGGGATGAGAGTGATGGAGCTGACAGGGGAAGCCTATCATTCACTATGGCCACTACTGCTGTCTAGACCAGACCCAGGCCTGTTTCGTCAACCAATTCCTAGCTACCTGCCTGCACAGGGGGTGGGGGATGGGTGTCTTAAAATTGTTAGTCATGAAACAATTAGTTAGTCACCTCTACTTCCCCCTTCCAAAGGTACTATCTTCGATTTATAAAAGCTTATACTCAACCACTTATTTATATATATTCTAGCAAGGACCAGAGCCACATAAAACTTTCTGCAATACCTAATAAAAGTATGATTTTTTGGTTGCTGACATTTATTTTTCCCATTTAAAGAAACTATGACTGTGTAATGATAACCAGATTACAAAGGCTATAACTGATCTAAATAAGATCAAATACTACTCAGTACTCTTGAAGTCTCAAATGCTTGTGGTTGGGAAAAACCTTGAAAATGTTTTACTGTGCTACAAGAACTTACATATGATAACACAATTTAGCTACGATTATTGTAAAATCCTTACCATTTCAACAGCAGGGCTTGTATTCCTGCCTTTCCAAACAGGGGTTTTCTGTAAAGAACTGTACTTTTCATTCCATGTGTTAGATAAGCTTCCCTCTGTAATGAATATTTAATACTAATAAAATTTAAGTTTAGTTCATAGGGTTTTATACTATGAACACTACTTCTTTCATAGCAATATATCTAAAATATATACCAATATAGAAAAAAAACACTGACCATAATTTTTGAAAAATCTCATTTGAGTTTTTGTCACCAAGTCCCTTAATAATCTGATAATAATGCATCTTGAAAGTATTCTATTTCTTTTCTTTTTTTTTTTTTTTTTTT